CGTGAAGTGAAGACTCAACACAAGAAAGCTCTGGAGGAAGGAGATGCAGCTAGCCTCTGCACAGGCAAATGATAGGGCAACATGAAGCAGAACACGTCATACGTCTTGGGGGGGGTCGTATATAGTCGCTGGAGGGAGTGGATTGTGCTTAGTTAAAAAGAAACTTTTTTGTCAGTTCATTTTTCTTGTTTCACGGGCGCTATTCACATTGTTGCAAGGTTTCTAGGGGAGGTGTGGGTCGCTCGTTGTGCTGCGGCAGGATGTACCCTGATACGAAGTGGGCCTATTCTGACCCTTCCCGCACGGGTGCGCCAGAATCTCAGTCCTCAACGTTACACTTTCATTCTAGCTTTGCGGATTCCTCAGTGAATACTTGCTTGGTCTGAACATGGTTGAATTCTGCAGGATTAGTTCGAAGTCTCTTAAAGACGAACTAGGCACTCAGAGGGGGGGCCTTCAAGGATGCCCCCCCCCTCCATGCGCGAGGTGAATGGGTCGGCAGTTGCAGTAGTGTACCGCTTTCTCCACTCAAAAGCGCACGAGAGCGAGGCTGGGTGCAGCACCTGTGTCGAATCTAACACAGTCGAGGAAGAGAACAACCTGAAGTAAGAGTGCGCAGAGAAGTAGCGTGCTTGGCCATGGTTAGGCGTGTGCTGGCCGTGCGACAGGGCGGGCGGAGTCGTGGGACGGCATCAGGGCACCCGTCCCTGTGCACTTTTGACTAGAGAAGTGGAACGCTACTGCAGCTGCTCACTTCGCACATGGCAACGACCAGAGTCCACGGAGGTGAGTGTACAGCTGTCTTTAAACCAACCTGGAGCTGATTAGTTCTGAAAGGCTACGTCGACCTAGGAAAGAGAGAGGAATGGGGCGAGAAAAGTGCCTGTTCGTTTTGGTTCATGATGACCAACTGTTACAGTGGCGCCGGCAAGTCCACACTTCTGAACATTCTCACTCAGAAAAAAATGCAAGGCGTCAGGTTTTCCGGTGATGTTGCAATAAATGAGTGAGTTATTCAAGTAAATATGGGCAAGTCTTTTTTGCTGCGGATAAAAGGACGGGACCAGTCTGGCGCGGCGCAGACCCTGCAGCCTGAAATGGGCGATTCAGGAGGATATACAATCTGAACATTGAACAGCTCATAATCGCTCTTGACGTCTCATTTCCAAGAAAATGTACATGACCCGAAGGGGTATTGACATTTGTTTCAGAACGCTGGTTGAACAGGGTGACATGAAAAAACTCAGTGCATATGTGCAACAGGAAGATATTTTCATAAGCGAAGCTACTGTTGAAGAGCAGTTGATGTTCACGGTAAACTGTTCTTTTTTGAAGAACCCTAGTAGCTCGAGTAGGAGTTCCTCAACACCCCTGAACTGTCCGGTTATCCATGTTTGTATCCAACTTTTTTTAGGCGCGACTACGCATGCGTGCGAAAAAGACAAGCAAAGAACGCAAGGAAATCGTTTCAGAAGTTATTGAAGTAGTAAGTGACAATGTTGGCCTGAAAACTCATTTCTCTTCTACTCTTCCTCGCT